AACTGTGCCCATGGTACTCAGGGAGGCCAGAAGAGGGTGTCAGATCCCTTAGGGCTGGTGTTACAGATGGTTGTGAGTCACCTTGTGGCTGCTGGGAACAGGCCTCTGGAAGAATGGCCAGTGCACTTAACCGCTGAGCCATCTCTCTGGGCCCCAGAATGGCTATACTAACTGAACAGAAGTTCAGTAGGACATACAGGATTTTAGTCTGGTTATTTTTAGTGTGTGACTTTTTTTTTTTTATAATAAAGTTTATTTAAAAGATAAATACATTTTAAAAACTATTTCTCTAGAGTGTAAAAGATGATTTGAAGACATGCAAAAAACTGTAAGCTCACATTAAAATTTTTTAGTTCAGCCAGGTATGGTGGCACATGTCTGCAGTCCTTACACTCAGGAGACTAAGAAGGATCACAATGAGTCTGAGGACAGCCTGGGCTACATAAGGAGTACCAGGCCAACCAGGACTACATAGAAAGGTACTGTCTCATAAAAACAAAAACTCAGTCTAATGTTAGAATCTAGTAAAAGGTAAAATAAGCTGGTGTGGTGGTGCATACCTATAATCCCAGCACTCAGAAGGCTGGGGAAAGAGGCCATGGGTTTGAGTCTCACCTCAGATACAGAAAAGAAATCATGCATGTATGTTTGAGAAGAGACAAACCACACACTTGAAGTGATTTTAGAAAGATATATTGAGAACCTGACAAACAACACATTTCTGGACTAGAGGCAGAGCCCAATGGTAGAGCATTTACAAAGCATATGCAGGGCTCTGAGTCCAATCCCCAACAGTGAGGAGAAAACACACAAGCAAACCAGTGCATTTCTCTTGCCAGTGATCTCCAGTTGGCATGTTCTTCCTCAAGAAAACACAAAGATTCATAAAGAAGATAGTCACTGTAACCTCTGTAACCTCACTAATACAATTTTTTTAATTTTAAAATAAGTTTTATAAAATAAAAATATCTACAAGCAAGAACTTCTAAAAGATAATTTTGCATATGGGCACAAGATGAACTACTTAGCAATCATGAGAAGTGGTCATTTGCAAAAATTTTTCAAACACAAACAGTGCCTTTATTAACAAATGAAAAATTAAACCTTGGCTCAAAAGTTTACATATACTGTACATCCTCAATATTGTTTAAAACTATGTGTTGAAAAAAAGAAAAGGACCATTTCAACATGCTGAGAGATACCTCTGTATTTATGGGATGATTCTCTTCCACATGTTAAACAGTCTTCACATTCTACATTTTCTTTATATTACTTTGATAATTAGGAACAAAGAAAAATTTAAATTGTTAAAGCAACAATCAGTCAGCAGCTTTATTACATAAAGCAAAGCAAAAACTAAAGCAACAGCAGAAACTCCTTTGGTGCCATCCACACAGAGAAAGGAACACGCTGTAGAGTGCACAGGGCTGCCTCCATTATGTTGTTACCCAAACTTCAACTACACAACTGTAAGAGACGTTAACAAGACGGAACTGATGTCAAGACCATGACAAGGTGTGCACTAAGATGCTGGTCACTCTACTCTACTGAGTAAGGGGCTGTCTTCACTCTGTCTCACAGGAACCAGGCAGTTTAGTATCAAAGGACAAAGACTTTTCACTTAGGAAGCACTAGAAAGAAAGGACAAGCTGAAAAGGGTGGGAAGCCAGTGGTCGTGAGGGAAGACTTCTGTCAAGGTCTCTGTCAAGTGTGTTTGAACAAGAGCACAGATTATCTGATCATTCTTCAAGGAGCAAGGACTCTGCACTCTAAGGCAGACTCCAACTTGTTGAATGAGGGATCTGACAGCTTGGAAGTCCACAGCCTACTACCAGGAAGCAACATGAGGGCCAAGTGTCCACTGAAGAGATGGATCCCTAGGGTACCAAGGAGGAGCAGGCTTTGAGCCCTGATCAGTGCTCAGAGACGGACAGCCTGATCTATGACTGGCCCTCTGAGCGAAGACAGGAGAGCAGAAAGACAGCAAGAGGGGACACTTGAGACTTAAATGCTAGGCATCCCAATGGCACCTTCTAGCATTCCAGGAGCCCTTTCAAGGGAGAAATTACCAAACTCTTTTGACAGGAAAAACAGACCCCAAGCGTCAAGCAATTTCTCCAAGGTCATGGAACATCAGCTGCAGAATGGCTTTTCCTTTTGTACTGCCAGCTTTTGGTTCTTTCATAGTATACTTTTGCAGAAACTATCAGAAAACATTTTAAAAATACACTTTCAAAGCCGGAGAGATGGATCAGCAGTTAAAAGCACTTCCTGCTCTTCCAGAGGATCCAAGTTCAGTTCCCAATATCCACATGAGGTGCTTTAGCTACCTGTAATTCCACTCCAGGGAATCTGACATCTTCTTCTGGACTTTGCAGGTACTTGCACTCACCTATATATCCCCCACATAAACACACATGTATACATAATGTAAAAAATCTTTTAAAAACACCATTCTAGGCAATATACTGAATCAGAAGATGTAGGAACAATGCTCAGGAACCAAACTTCCCCTAGGTGATTGCTGGCTGACCTACAACCAGAATGCTAACTGCTGGTCCAACACGAGGGCAGCGACTCACTCCACGCCTCCTGCAGGCCCCAACAGCTCTCCTGCTCTGCTTGCTTCTTCTTTCATGCTCCATCCTACCCCATCTTTCTTCAGCTTTCCTAAGATGATGCTTTCATCATGAACACAGCAGCTCTGAGGCCTACCAAACACTTGGTATGACATTACTCATTTCAGCTCCTAAATCCTGATAAATTCCCTTCTTGCCTCCATCTCGCCACCTACAGTGTTCTCTACCTGGCCACCACAGTTACTTTTCCTAGGCACACATGTGATCTTATTGTCTGAAAAATGAGAACTTTCAAGAAAAAAATTCCTGGGCACCACTCCAGATTCATTGACTTAGTATCTTGGAGCAGGCTTCAGATACTTGCCTAGGGGGTGGGTACAAGTGCACACGTGTGTGCATAAGTGTAAAGACCATGTGCTTTTTTTTTCCCCCTCTTATTTTATTTTATAATACCATTCAGTTCTACATATCAGCCACGGATTCCCTTGTTCTCCCCACTCCTGGCCCCCTCCCCTTCCCCCCAGCCCACCCTCCATTCCCACCTCCTCCAGGGCAAAGCCTCCCCCGAGGACTGAGATCAACCTGGTAGACTCAGTCCAGGCAGGTCCAGTCCCCTCCTCCCAGATTGAGCCAAGTGTCCCTGCATAGGCCCCAGGTTTCAAACAGCCAACTCATGCAATTAGCACAGGACCTGGTACCACTGCCTAGATGCCTCCCAAACAGATCAAGCCAATCGACTGTCTCACCTATTCAGAGGGCCTGATCCAGTTGGGGGCCCCCAACCCTTGGTTCATAGTTCATGTGTTTCCATTCGTTTGGCTATTTGTCCCTGTGCTTTATCCAACCTTGGTTTCAACAATTCTCGCTCATATAAACCCTCCTCTTTCTCGATAATTAGACTCCCAGAGCTCCACCCAGGGCCTAGCCAGACCATGTGCTTTTATCAATCACTCTCCATCTTGGGTTTTGGGTCAGGGTCTAGTGGGATTTTATCTCTAGCAACCCACTGAGTCTATTTAATGAGCAAAGGAATTTATTTGTGGGTTAACTCACAAGACAGAATAAAGGCATTTGTCACAGGATCTTGGAAGGGCAAGGCATGGTCCAATGCTGTCTCTGGTGAGCTCTGCCCTGGTCCATTCCAGCATCCAAAAGCATGAGGTATCGAAGAGAGCACGCATATGTGCATCCTAGGTCTTAAGGGTCCCTTAGCAGCCACATCCAAGAGGCATGTACCTCAAGGTCATAGGCAGGTGTAACAGTTACCTGCGATGCTTCATGGCTCAAAGACCCACCCACTACAAGGGTCTCTCACTGAACCTGGAGCTCACCTTTAGCTAGAATGTCTGGCTAGTGAGCCCCAGGGTTCCTCCTATCTCCGCCCCCTCCAATCCCTATGCTGGGGTTACAGGCAATCACCTCCATGATCAGCTTTGCATGTGGGTTCTGAGGGATCTAATTTAAGTCCTTGTTCTTGCACAGCAAACATGTTACTGAATTTTGAGTCATCTCCCTAATTCCTAGACATCTTCATTTTCCTAAGAGTAAATTATTATTCATCAAATGTTCACACACACCTTCAGACCTCTATGCAGTTAAGTATATACTTCTCAGCAGCAATGCTATCTGGTTTGGCTCATGTAACAAGCTCAGCCAATGAGAAGGGGCAAGAGCAAGTCCTTAAAATGAGCCAGATGTACAGCCAATGTGGAAACACTCTGGACATTGTTCACATTCAAATTCCTCACCTGGTATATAAGACCTTTTATGATGTGGCCACTCTGTTTCCTCACTCATTGCCTTGACCCATCCTAGGATTAAACCCTGCTGACCCAAGTAGAAAATGTTCTTTTACATGACCACCCTTCTGCACATGCTGGTCTGGTCTACCTGGTCTCTGTCCTTTCATCACTTCACTCCAGGAGCATAGCATTCAGCACACAGAAAACACAGCTGCTCACTCCTCTGCAGTCAGAAAGCTAGACAGCAAGGCAAGCAGCCCTAGGTCTGGGTCCCATCTCTCCCATCAGCAAGAGTTGGATGGAACCGGTTCCCAGATTTCCCTGGACCAGGTCTCCTCACCCTCCTCTTACAGTGCTGCTGAGCTGCTGTTTCAGCAATGCGGACTGAACCAGGCCCTTGGCTATTCTTCCAGCCTCTAACTCAGTTTCGTAGTAATGAGGGAAAATGAAGTAAAGTGTCCAGCACAGAGCCGAGCACACAAACAAGGATCAAGAGCCTCTTATCCTCTCAGTGGATCCGTCCAGGGTCTAGCATAGGCTAGACTTAGAACAGAGACTTGGTGTTGATGGTGTGGATAAAGTGACCAGAGGCACTCTGTTTTGCTGTCCTTGCTTCAGACATGAGTACAAAGACTCCTTGGGTCAGATACATAAATACTGCATCTGTTGGCAACTGTACCTGTTTCTCTATGAGCCTGATGGTGTCCTCTGAGGTTTTGTCCTTTGATTTCTTCAGCTTATTCATTGCGTTAGTGCGAACCTTCCGTAAATTTTCTTTGGCCTTGTTGGTGTTCTGTTTGGCCAGTTTCACCAGCATTTCTCTGTGTTCCCTGGTTACTCTGAAAAGAAGACACACACACACACACACACAAATTTGAACACACTATTCTTTCTAGTAAGACACTGACCTCTAGCCAAGAATTTAACACTCCTCTGTTCACTAGCTCAACAATCTACAGCCTTGACCTATCAGCTGATGACCTGACTCCTGACAGATACCAATGCACATGCTTAGTTCCTGATGAGTTATCTGGTAAAAGCAAGTAAAAGACATTACAGAACAGATAGGCTAGGTAGATCCGGAGTCAAAATTCAACCATGCTACTTACAAGATGCAGACTTGTCTTCTAAAACCCCCCAGCTGTCTAACGGGAATCAAAGGGGTGGGAGGAACTAAGATGATCATGTGACTCACTTACCATTGGCCCTGACACATTTTAAATGTTCAATAAAAGAAACCAATCAGCCACAATTAGCTTTCCATTCCACAGCAATGTAAATGGGGGACACTCAGAAATAACACTATTGCTAAACTCTACATCACCCAACCGTCATCATCCTCATCATTATAACACTCAGGATCATCTCAAAACTAACCTTCACTATCCTGATCACTATGACAAAATACTTAGGAATCACCTCAAAACCAAGAGATAGCACGAGTCCCCCTGTAACGCATAACAACTGCAGCACCAGTTGACTTAGAAAGCACCTTTGAAAGTATCCAGCATCTTACAAGGGCTTGGTAAATGCTATCAGCCTGTTATTGTTTCCTTTGTGTGTGGCCCTGGCTGCCCTGGAACTCACTCTGTAGACCATGCTGGTCTGAAACTCAGAGACCTGCCTGCCTCTGCCTTCTGAGTGCTGGGATTAAAGGTGTGTGCCACTCAGATAAATGTCAGTTTTTGTTATCAGCATCTTCATCATCATGACATTGAGCATAACCCGTGAAGAAAGGCATTTTACCGCACACAGCAGTTACTATCTCACATTTCATCATCATGACAACACAGCAGCACAGCACAGCATAAATGTGCTGCCTTCCTTTCTCCATCTTGCACACACTGAGTGCCAGGAGCTGAGGTAATGGATTTGGATGAAGACAATAGACCTTCATCCCGCTCCTATGGAACTTAGCTAAAGAGAGGCAAAAAGATAGTCATCAGAGTGTGAGAAGTACTGTGGTAACCGAAGTAGGAAAAGAAAGGGGCCATACGTAACTGGATGTCAACATGCAGAAGATTGCAAATAGATCCATATCTGTCACCATGCACAAAACTCAAGTCCAAGTGGATAAAAGACCTCAACATAAATCCAGTTACACTGAACTTGATAGAAGAGAAAGTAGGAAGTAGTCTTGAATGCATTGGCACAGGAGACCACTTCCTAAATATAACACCAGTAGCACAGACACTGAGAGCGACAATTAATAAATGGGACCTCCTGAAACTGAGAAGCTTTTGTAGAGGAAAGGACACAGTCAATAAGATAAAATGACAGCCTACAGAATGGGAAAAGATCTTCCCCAACCCCACATCTGACAGAGGGCTGATCTCCAAAATATATAAAGAACTCAAAAAGCTAGACTTAAAAATACTGAACAATCCAATTAAAAAATGGGCTACAGAGTTTAACAGAGAATTCTCAACAGAAGAATCTCAAATGGCTGAAAGGCATTTAAGGAATTGCTCAACATCCTTAGTCATCAGGGAAATGCAAATCAAAACAATTCTGACACCTGTCAGAATGGCTACAATCAAAAACACTGGAGACAGTTTATGTTGGAGAGGATGTGGAGCAAGGGGAACACTCCTCCACTGTTAGTGGGAATGCAAACTTGTACAGCCACTCTGGAAATCAGTACGGCGGTTTCTCAGAAAATTGGGAATACGTCTTCCTCAAGACCCAGTTATACCACTCTTGGGCATATACCCAAGGAATGCTCAATCTTACCACAAGGACACATGCTCAACTATATTCATATCAGCATTATTTGTAATAGCCAGAACCTGGAAACAACCTAGATGCCCCTCAACTGAAGAATGGATAAAGAAAATGTGGCAAATATACACAATGGAGTACTACTCAGCAGTTAAAAAAAATCATGAAATTTGCAGGCAAATGGATGGAACTAGAAAATACCATCTTGAGTGAAGTAACCCAGACTCAGAAGGACAAACATAGTATATACTCATTCATAAGTGGATACTACATGGAGGGAAGGGATGGCCAGACTGTAACCCACAACTCCAGAAAGGCTAGCTAACAGGGAAAGACCCTAGGAGGGACACATGGATGACCCTGCGAAGGAAAAGTGGATGAGATCTACATAAGCGGACTGGGTGTGTGTGTGTGGGGGGGGTGACAGAGGGTGAGGAGTGGGGGATGAGAACATAGGGAAATGGGAAGGTCAACCTGGAACAGGGACAGAGTGGGAGGGCAGGGAGGAAGATACCATGATAGATGAGGACATCATGGGAATAGGAAGAGGCAGGGTTCTGGGGAGGCTCTCAGGTATCCACAAGGATGACCCCACCTTGATCTGCTGACAGTGGTCCAGAGGATGCCTGGACCAGTCTACTCTAGTGACCAGTCTAGTGAATACCCTAATGGTCATCATAGAGCCCTTGTCCAGTGACTGATGGAGGCAGATGCAGAGATCCACAGCCAGGCACCAGGCACCAGGCTGAGCTCCAGGAATCCAACTGATGAGAGAGAAGAGGGATTCTGCAGGAGAGGGACGTCGAGATCATGATGGGAGGACGTGCAGAGATGACCAGCCACACTAGTGGAAGCCCATGAATTGTGGACTGGTGACTGTGGAGCCCCCATGGGACTGGACTAGGCCCTCTGGATACAGAAGACAGTTGTTTGGCTCGAACTGTTTGGGGAGCACCCAGGCAGGGGGATCGGGATCTGTCCCTGGTCTATAGGCAGGCTTCTGGGAATCTGGTGCCTGCGGGGTGATGCCTTACACAGCCTTTGTGCAGTGGGAAGGAGCTTGGACCTGCCTAGGCTCAGTGTGCTGGGCTCTGCTGACTCTACATGGGAGACCTCAATTTGGGGGATGTGGGTGGCTCGGGAAAGAGGGCTGGTGGTGGGGAAGGGAGGAAGGGGGATCTGTGGATGGTATGTGGAATGACTAGAAAATTTCTTAATAAAGAAAAATTAAAAATGAAAAAGAAAGAAAGAAAGAAAGAAAAGGAAGGAAGGAAAGAAGGAAGGAAGGAAGGAAGGAAGGAAGGAAGGAAGGAAGAAAGAAAGAAAGAAAGAAAGAAAGAAAGAAAGAAAGAAAGAAAGAAAGAAAGGAAGGAAGGAAGGAAGGAAGGAAGGAA